TATATTAGATCGACAGTGGGTGACCTGTCCTTCTCGTAGTAGCCGTCTTTTTCCTGGAAGAGAACTGAAAGTTTTGAGAAGGCGAGGAACAAGAGAGGAAAAGGAAAAAAAAGAGTAGCCTCGAACGTAGCTTCAATAGTTAATGTTGAAGTCATTCATCGCTACAGGACTATAATTAAAAGATCTTGGCACGGGCAAGTGGATGGAATCAGCTAACTACTCTGAAGTCAGTACTCGGGCCACGAACACCACGGCACCTGGTCATTTGTCCATGTCAATGGGAAATGCGTGTATAAAGAGTGAAGGATAGTATGTAGAAAATAATATTTCTGAGAAGTTGCTACAGTCAGCTGCTCTACGTTGCGTGCAAATAAGAAGCGATGTTCGTGTGTTCTCTATATAATTATATTATTGCATTGGCTTTAACCTACCATCATAATCCAAACTAGGTGAGGTTAATACAGGCGACACTTTTATTTTAATAAATATAATAGAATTTAATTTGTTACACGCTTTTAGGTGGCTCAAGACCTTTACAGATAATAGTGAAGAAAAGAAAGAGAAGAAAGGACAACAAATAATTATATATGTCTAAAGTAAAGGTCAAATAATACAAAAAAATCAACCATTAAAAGCCAGATCGAAGAGGTGAGTTTTTGTGAGTTTTTTGAAGGTGGTGAGGTCGGTGCAGTCTCTGATGGGTTGTGGGAGTGAGTTCCAGAGGGAGGGGGCAGCGACGGAGAAGGCTCTGTCCCCCCAGGTCCGGTGATTGGTGCGGGTGGGGATGGATAGGAGTTTGGCTTCTGATGAGCGGAGGCAGCGGGAAGGGGTGTGGTGGTGCAGCAGGTCTGTGAGGTAGGGGGGGGGGCCTGATTGTTGAGGGCTTTGTGAGTAATGAGTAATTTATGAACCAGACCTACACTATGTTGATCACCTGAATCCTAACTCAATTTGTGTCAGATTTAGTACAACTCGCTTTTGATTTACTGCAGCATTACATGAAAACAAAGCAGCTGCAGTTGTCAGAGGCATGATGGGAAAGACATGGTGTCCTGCTTACTGGCTTACCAAAAAGTTATATATTGACGTTTTTTTAAATCTTATCCTAACCGTGGTAATAGCTTTCGCTGTCACGGTCTCCAAGTATATACTTATTTAAAAACAACAAAAGTATTAGAAGATTACTTAAATGCAATTGGAGGATTGTATACTAATCATAAATGAGAAGCCAGAGTGTATTGCCAAATGAAACAGGTGGAAATAGACAATGTGTTGCTTTAGCTAGAAGTTGACTGATTCCCTTGAATAGATTGACTGGTTTAATATTAAATTTGAAAAAGGTGAAAAATATGGTTATGTGAAAGTGTTTGTCATGTTAATCCTTTAATTAAAAAGCCTGGTTTCCTTGACCAGGATCGAAACCAGAACAAGGCATGCAGCCATACAGCACTTCAATCTCCATTGATCGGGATGGAGAGAAATTGATAGATGTATGTGACGTCAGGCCATTAGCCTACCATAATAATGAACCGGTCATTGGTAAAAGTAGTGATGATAGTTACATTTCTGTGCAATGAATTACAAATGTTACACCCACAATTACAATGCGTATTTTCAAACTGTTCCTCCGAGACAAGTTTATTTAGCGCACACTGAGCCTTTTAATTGTCACTAGCCTGATTCCTTTAGCAGGTGCGTGGGCATCAATTAGCCCTCATTCAGCTAGCCTGACCCTAAATACTGCCTAGCAGATACGGAAAAAGTGTCAATATCGGACGACGAAGGCCCACTAAACATAGCTGAAATGTCTTACAAGTACTGTTAAAATAACAGAAGTTTAATTACAAGGTATTGGTTTGTATGTTAGCGTAACTGGCTTCATGCTATTGAGCCATGGTTACGTTAACTGAGATGTACTAACGTTAGCACGCAAGCTAAGCTACCTCTCTAGCTGTTTGCATGTTATGCAGTGGAAGTAAGACAAACATCTACGTACTGCCTCTGGACAAGCTCCTCGGCGGTTGGTGGTCCCTGCTGCTGCTGGAATGACTTCAGAGACTCAAATGCCTTCATCAATTTCTCCATGGTGGCCATTTTAGCAATCAACAGTAAGCAAGCTAGCTAGGCTAACTAATATTTACTATGTGAGCTAGCTAGCTAGCACACTGGAGAGAGCAAGCGGTGCGTAGTGCGACGAGAGTGTTAACACTGCTCGCGACAACTACCACCGGCTCTCTGCCTTCTCTTTGTGCACGATAGCTCCTATTGTTTTACAATGTAAAACCTGAATGAACAAAACGTTGGTCGATAATAAGCCATATTTGATGCTGCTCTGCGTTCCCCCGACAAACCACACCAGGAAGTGGCCTAAGTGACAGTTTGACAGAAAGGGGAGGGGTGAAACGTCAGTGGCCAATCAAATCGCCATTTCAATGTTGAGTGACTTGAGAAACAGCCAATGAGCGACTGAAGGTTTTTTTCTTTTGTTGTTATTGTTGCTGTCACGGGACCGCTGTAATCCAGATTGAAAAGGGATAGTTGAGGCAATATCAATGCTTTAGCGCTGTTGTTTATCCATGCGCCAAAAAAACAAGAGGGAGCAGTGAACATGTGGAGTCTAAATAAATGTACTGTGAATCGAAACAAGGAGGAAAAACCGTGAATTGAGGTTTAGTTTATCTGGAAATGCTATGGGTCATCGGGACCTATGTTGTCCTGGGACGTTTGTGTCAGAAATGAAAACAAAAGATGAGAAAGCGCAGCGAGAGCAAAAGTCTGATAATTGAGAAAGAAGCAAAGAGAACTGCAAACAAAAAGATGTGTTAAAACAAAGAAAAAATACTTATAGTTTACATGATTACACAACTGATTTTTTTGCAAATTATAGTTTTATTTTTTTAATGAAATTTATTTTGCTTGATTCAGTTTTTTTTTTCTTAAACTCTTAGTTTTGCTTGATTCTGAGAAAGTGTTGCTTTATCTTTATGAAACAAAACTAATCCCATAATTACCGACCCCTGCCCCCTCCCTGGATAAATCATCAATGGAAAACAGCAACTGCTCAATAATACATCTTTAACTTCAACCAATATGCTTTTTATGTAAAGAATTTGTAGTGATATCTTTATTAAGACCTTTATTAACAAACTCAAGCAAATTCCCAGGTGACAGACTTATTTTCTTCCATACACACAAATTAATAAATGACACAAATAAGTCAAGACAAGTATTTTTTTATACAAATGGCAGTGTATTATTTCATAATTACAAATGTCAGATATGGTACAACAACCAGTGATACAACTTGTACAATAATTAACAATGACTGCAGTGGTTGAACGACATGACTGTACAGATACAAAAAAAGAAGAAAATCAAGAAGTCACAGGCCCCGCTTGAATACCAATAATGTGTTTCCTCATTCCTCCCTTCCTTATGGGGAACTTATCTGAAATATCGGGACAGAAGAGCATGTAACCCTGGAGAACCGCAGGCATATATCTGGGTGGGGGGGGGGGGACTCGCCATCACCACCGTTGGAGGAAGGCAGGAAAAGGAATGCATGTTATGGCTTCAAACGGGGCCAAACTCAGCTGGTCACCTTGCCATTTATAAAGTTGTCCTCAGATACCAGTGAGATATGTTGGCACTAGAAGGTCATCATTTACATATACAAGGAACCTGAAGTATTACAAACCGATACATGCTTGAGTAATAAAACATATGTATTTTTTTGTTGTTGTTTAAAACAAGCATTACAATGCACTTAGTGCGGACATTCAAAACTGTTGAGCTGTTTAAAGTTTCCTTTATGTGAAGGAATTTCTCTCGGAATGGACGGAATGATAGAGAGGTTGAAAAAAAGGCGAGATGTCAGAACTCAACTCGGTAAATTGGCACATACAATAAAGACTGTCAGTCTTTCTTCAGCAATTTGTTTTCCGAGAACAAGACAAGTTTTACTAAATGTTGCTTTTGGTATCATTGGCATAAAAGTTCAAGACACTTCCTATAGTCATTGTCAAAACACACCATAGTGCAATGAAACTAAACATAATTCCTTTACTGCTATATGGATGTTAGAAGAGTAAAGTTCATACAATGACAGAGGCATGGGTGGCAAACACAGTTTCGTTTCCCTGTGAGAGTGAGTGAATGTGTGTTAGAGCTTAGTTATATGTTAGAAATACATCATTTACATGTTTTTTTTTAGGCTAAATAGCTAAAAGGCTAAAATCTACATAGGCAAGAGAAATCAGCTTCAAAATGTGCCTGAGAGCAACAAAGAAAAATAACAAAGACACTCAGGAAAAAGTGACAAGCCAGAAACAGATGCACGCATTCGATTCCTGATTTTTCATAATGGAATGTGCAACAGGGGACAATTTTATTTATTCAAAAAACCAACTCTCCAAAATAGTAAACCAGATTGGGAATTATATGCGTACCATTTTTAAATGTCTTCAATGGTTTGAAATTCAAATGAGTGACGTTCAAGTCTCTACATGATTTTAACTATTGTATGGTTGTACTTCGATGCATTGGATTGAACAGAAGCTGCATTTGCATACAATGTAATACACACACACGCACAGAGCCAACATGTCCAGATTGGGTATTCACAGCATTAAAAACAGGTGGTGGGGGGAGTAAACCGCAACTGCCTCAAAAGCAAAAATTCAAAAGCAAGATAGCTTCAATTGTCTCTGAAAATCAAATGAGGACAGATGGTTGGAAATGCACAGAAAATATATTTGTTCATGATTGGAAGGAAACACTTCTATGGTTGAAAAAGAGCACACAACTGTGGTTCTGCAAGTGTTCCTGTACACAGATGATGGTAACTCGATACGTTTCTTCCTCTCTACACACAAAAAACAACTGTCTCAAGCCATTCCTATGACAGAACAACATACAAGATTTCAATGGTGGGTTTATAGTAATGCTTTCATTTAGCACAAACACAGCTAAAGCTAAACTGGAGGTCTACAAGCGGGATATTTGCTATCTACGATCAACAGGCACAGTATTGTGACTTAGCGCAGAGGCTAACAGCTGCTAACAGCAGAATCAAAGGAAGTTCCTTTTATGCAACCCCAATTTATTATCTACACTGAACAAAAATATAAACAAAACACTTTTGTTTTTGCTCCCATTTTTCATGAGATGAACTCAAAGATCTAAAACATTTTCTACATACACAAAATAACCATTTCTCTCAAATATTGTTCACAAATCTGAAAAAATCGGTGATAGTGAGCACTTCTCCTTTGCCGAGATAATCCATCCCACCTCACAGGTGTGGCATATCAAGATGCTGATTAGACAGCATGATTATTGCACAGGTGTGCCTTAGGCTGGCCACAATAAAAGGCCACTCTGAAACGTGCATTTTTGCTTTATTGGGGGGGTCTGGTGGGGTCCGAAAACCAGTCAGTATCTGGTGTGAGGGTTAGGATTAGGGTTAGGGTAATGTTGTGAATCGAGTGGCCCATGGTGGTGGTGGGGTTATGGTATGGGCAGGCGTATGTTATGGACGATGAACACAGGCCACTCGATTCACAACATTACCCTAACCCTAATCCTAACCCTCACACCAGATANATGGGGGGGAAGTGAAGGTTAAGATTGAAGGGAGGGAAGAGTACTGCTACCCAGGAAACATGATGCAACGCGTCATCTGTGAAGCTCCGCCCACATTGAGCTCATTGAGGCATTTTGCACTGCATTGAGGGGCTTCTCGGAAAGTTAGCCTATAGGCGCGTTCACACGAAGTACTTTTCCCACAAAGGTTCCTGAGAACTCTTTAGTTCTCATGAACTAAGTACAGATCGCGTTCACACCGGAAATGAGTTCCTTCTGCTTTGGGTTTACTGGCAGGCCGCAAACAACTTCACGGCGTATACTGCCGCCCAAAATCCCCGGCCGGAAGTCCCCGGAGTTAGGGACTGGCTTTTACTGAAGCCTTCCGAGTAAACGGCCAGAACGCCGACACCTCCTCATCTCCACCGCTCCCATGTTTATTTTGTGTTGCCATAAGTTNCTTCTCCATCTTTAAGCTAAGCTGTTAAGGAATTTCTGCTCAAAAAGTGTGGTTCAAATGCTTTAGTTAAGTTTTCAAACTGTACTTTAAGTACTCTAATACAGTTTGAAAACTTAACTAAAGCATTTGAACCACACTTTTTGAGCAGAAATTCCTTAACAGCTTAGCTTAAAGATGGAGAAGCATGTGCAATGCAGTGCGCAATGTCTCAATGAGCTCAATGTGGGCGGAGCTTCACAGATGACGCGTTGCATCCTGTTTCCCGGGTAGCAGTTCTCTTCCCTCCCTTCAATCTTAACCTTCCCTTCCCCCCCATCCTAACCCTAACCACTCCCTACCTTTTTACCTAATCCTAATCTTCCTTCCTTCCTCCCACCCAAACCCCAAAACCTCTCCTACCCCTTAGTATTATTTTTGCCACTTCTAATCAGTTCTACTTTAAACTCTCTCTTTTTCTCCATTTCCTTTTTGAATCCCCATCTTTTCCTCCCCTCCCTTATGATGTAGTTGTGTTCATGTGTTCATAACCATGCATGAAGGCTGTTAATGTGTTTAATTTGAGTTTTACATTTTTAAATGCTGTTGCCCTGGCGACAGATCACTCACCATCAAGTTAGTTCAAAAGTTTGCATTTAAACTCAAATGTAACACAGACCTCAAGGTATCATTATATTACCGGTATCATTATATATATATTAATAATATAAGATATAATATGTTACTTTTGTGACTGGGTAAGTACACAACACGGGAGTCGGGACGTCACGTGCCTCAAAGGTTGAGAAAAGTTGAGCTCCGCCCACGTTGAACTCCCGCCCACGTTGAGACGTTGCACACTGCATTGAGGGGTACTACTAAATAAATAATAATAATAATAATAAATTATATTTCTATACTGCTTTTCTTGAACCCAAAGATGCTTAAGATGGACAGTGTGTGTTAAAGGGAGTTGTTTTTAAATAGCACCTTTCCAGTTTTCTGACGTTTTATACTACATGCTTACATTTAACCAATACATACAATAATGGCAGGTCATACAAACTGCTAATATGTTTTGTGTATAGTGTCTAGCACAATGACACTTCAAAATGCATAACAATTTGTGCTGACTGAAAGAAAAAGCTTGTTTTGCACTGATGACATTCTGTAAATTACTGACATTGGCTGTTTCTTTTTGTTGTTCTTATGTCAAATTTGCCTATATGAGTATTCATAAAATGGTAAGAAATAGAAAAAAAGGGGGGGGAAAGCAATAATACAAATATCAGCAAATATACAAGTGAATTGCATAAATGTTATTTATGATTTATGAATATGAATAAAGAGCAATTGAAAGCATTTATTCACAACTGTTCGTTTTATTCAGACCTGCAGTTAATAATCTCTCTATACTGTATGTATATGTGGTACGTATATGTGGAAACTAAGGCGACAAGTTTTTTTAACCTCAACTCAGGATGCTTCCTATGGAAAACATTTCTACTCAAATTATAGGTAAACATAATCATGAAAACACTTTTTAATATTCTTACCTTAGCTGTTTGGCTGCCTCCAGGAGACACGATGCCATCTCCAGATGTCTCTCACCATCCCCCTCCTTCTCCTCCTCATTTTGTTGAGCTGTTATCCAACTTGTCATCAGCTCTTCATCAAGGTCAAACAGTTTATCAACGAGCTCCCCAACTTTCTCAAGCAGGTCAGCTGAAAAACACACAGGGTTCCACTGTTACTTACCTGGTACCCTGTGGAGTTTTTCGTGTAAAGTTTACATACAATGTTAATCATCACATGAAAAGCATTGTGTGTATGCTTCTACATTTGGATCTACTACCTGGATCCAATTTTTTCATATTCATTTTTCATAATCTGGACTATCTACGCTGAACAAAAATATAAACGCAACACTTTTGTTTTTGCTCCCATTTTTCATGAGATGAACTCAAAGATCTAAAACATTTTCTATATACACAAAATAACCATTTCTCACAAATATTGTTCACAAATCTGAAAAAATCGGTGATAGTGAGCACTTCTCCTTTGCCGAGATAATCCATCCCACCTCACAGGTGTGGCATATCAAGATGCTGATTAGACAGCATGATTATTGCACAGGTGTGCCTTATGCTGGCCACAATAAAAGGCCACTCTGAAACATGCAGTTTTGCTTTATTGGGGGGGTCTGGGGGGGGTCCGAAAACCAGTCAGTATCTGGTGTGAGGGTTAGGATTAGGGTTAGGGTAATGTTGTGAATCGAGTGGCCTGTGTTCATCGTCCATAACATACACCTGCCCATACCATAACCCCACCACCACCATGGGCCACTCGATCATCAGCTTATTAGAAAGGAATGAGTGAAAGCATGTTTACTGTTCGTGGAACTGCACATGACGAAAAGGAGGTTGGAGCGCACAGACGTCTGCTGTCGTATTCGCTGAAGCCACAGGGAACAGACATCTTTCTGAGAGACGCAGGTCAGCAACAATCTGCAAACATCATCAGAAAATAGTAATGCTTCTATCTTGGTGTTTCTGTCTCACATGTCTGCAGAAAACACAAAGGTCACCTGCTCGTTTCCAGAATGGTTGGAGGATCTGCATCTCCAAGAAGAAGCAACAGCACAGCCCTGTCGACACAAAGGGAGTTGCATTAATGAATCACAAAAGGGTGACAAATTATATTCCAACACTACAGAGAATTACTTTTACCCACCCTAGGTCTTCATTTTGACTTAGAGTCAGACAAGTGCCAGGGAAACAAGCAATGTTCCCAAGGATTCCCACGCAAATTTCCTAGAAAAGCAAAATAAAACATATAGAAATTATGAATGCACAGGAATAAAGCACACATGAATATATTACATAGGATTATATTCAAGCACAGAACACGTATGAACAAGAAACTAATTCACTCACTGTGAGGCGTGGACAACGAGATTTGGCTATCACCCCAAGAAGGATATCTGTAGCTTTGAATTCCTGCAGAAAACCAGCCACATCCTGCAGACAATTTGTTAATGAAGCGTCATTAGTAAATATTTAAACATGATCAAAGGGTATTTACTTTCACTGTAACATACACTCTGGGTTTCCAGTGTATTAGGCACACCTAGCTAAACAAATGCTACAATGAACCATAGCTTTACTAGGTCACCTTGGAGGATGATTGTGCTGAATTCTATTGCATTACACTGAGCATTGTTTCAATTATTTGTCCACCTTATTTATATTAACAAGAGGAGGCTGAATCACAGAAACATCTGTCAGTACATTGCAATACAGTTTTAGGGCACCACAGATCACATTCTCAAATGATTATTTAATTGAAATGTTACCAATAATTGATGGTAAAATACCATTAAATTCATAGAATGTAGATCTATTTGTATCATGTTGTTGGTTAAGATTTGCCGCTAGCGTAACTACAAAATAGGAAATGATCCACAGGGTGCACATACTGTTTAATTTCATTAACATTTGAAGCCTATGAAGACCTCTACCTTATCCATTGCCATATCCCAGACTCTACATAGATCTTCCTCATCATCATCAAGGAGTTGCATTTGACCTTCAGAGTCAACCTCCGATTGCTCTGTGACCATCTGCAAGACACAAGAAAAGTTAGGTTTATGGGACAGCCGAGAGCGACAGCAAAGAGGGACATGTGTTATCCAGAAAGATGCTCCTATCACAAGAATAGAAAATAACTTGGAATACTTTTTTCATTCTCACTGACTCGGAAGAAGCCTTTGTTAAATAGGTCAACTAAATAAAAGGCAAGTCTTTCTGATCTCCAGTAACTCCCAGAGAAAAATTGTGCTTAGTGAAAATGTCGTGCCTATAGCAGGGTTGCCAACTCTCACGCATCTGGCGTGAGAGTTGGCAACACGCGCTTTCACTCTCAGTCCTCCCAAACTATTCTCAAGCCAAAATAAAGATGAACCGGCGATCGTTTTTGGTTGGTTATTTACAATGTTGAGTCGACAGCTGCTCAAGCTGTCGATCCGCTCCCTCCCCGCCCTCACCACTCTTAACAACATTAACAGACAGCAGAGCAGTGGTAGCCGGTTGGTCAATCCCCGACATTACATCCTCGGCAACACGCTCGGAGTGGGAATGCGCATATTGCGCATGCGTAGATCTAAGATCCAGCAGAAAAATGATAAAGTAAAAGTCTGCTGCTTATTGTTCTACTAGGCCAAAATAGAGTCAAAGAGTATATGAGAATGAGAGTGTGTTCATTAATATATTTGGCAGTTTGCAGTAAGTCTGTAGATTTGTTTGTGTGCGTTTCATGTATAGGCCTCTCAAGATAATTAATTTTGTTGGATACATTTTCCCGGACATTATTGCGATAAACGATAATATTGTCGGCACCGTTGTATGACCATTTTAGACCACTGACATAATGGTAATATATAATAATAATTCAAGTACATCCTTTCAAACTGCTAGTCACATCCTCATGTAAATGGCAATTTATCGAGTTCAGAAAAGTTATCGAGTTCATTTTTTTTTTATCGTATGATAAGTCAATGAATTGCTTATCGCGACAGGCACAAAATAAAACACTGGAAACAAACATGTGTTTGACTTTCATTAGTGAATGAAACTTTGTGCCCTTTATAGTCTGTGTCCAATATTGTGTATTTGTATATATTGTATATCCTATATATATATATATATATATATGCTAAGGTCCCGCTACTAACACGATAGCAGTCATTTAGTGCGCATATGTGTAATTAAACCCATGATATCAAAATCTCACTCCAGCCAGGTACCCAAAGTTGGCAACCCTGCCTATAGTATCAAACCTACATGGATGAGACGAGTCAGGGTGCTGAAAAGCCAGTGCTTGCTGTAAACAGTGTCTCCAATGGCATCCAAATCGCCGTCCTCCTCTCCATCGCCTGCGTTTGGAGGGGGTGATGGGTTGCGGTCCATTACAGGCGACTGTGTTTCAGTTGGAGATGATGATCTCTCAGGCTCCACTTCCTCAGCACCATCGACACTATAGTCTGGGGGGAAAACAGAGAGAAACGGGGATTAGAGCTGGGTGAAATGAAGTGATAAAATATTTGTCAAGAAAAGAGACTTTCTTCTTTCTTTTTTTACACAGGTAGTAAAGGTTTAGGGTCCCAGTTTACACTCTAGGCCAGTTTATAATGTACAACTAGCTAAAAATGTGAAGCCTCTGCATCGTAATAGAACACCCCTCATGTTAGTAACACATACACAGCGCTGACATGGTATAATGCAGTACTGTACTACTAATCTTCACAGTATTTCAAGTATTTAAACTGCTCCACATTGACCAACTACAATACTGAAATGCACGTATGTATAAAAATAGGATAATATACATGATAATATAATACGGTGAAAAGGTCCATTCTGCAACATGTACTTTTACATTTGATACTTGAAGTACTTAGCTGATAATACTTCTGTACTTTACATTATTCTCTGAAATACACATTGTGCAGAATTAGTCATTCTACTTTTTGTACTTTAAGTATATTTTTGATGCTAATACTTTAGTATTTTTACTTGAGTAACTTTAGTACTTTTACTTGAGTAAACATTTTGATTGCAGGACATTTACTTCTAACAGAATATTCCTACACTCTGGTACTTCTACTTTTACTTAAGTACAAGATCTGAGTACTTTCCCATACCTGTCGATAGAACGGCTTATTTTCGCTTTACACGTAGACGGGCTCGGTTTAATCATTTACAACTTAGCTTCACGACGTAGGTAAACTGACGAAAATTGCGATCTTTTGTTGACGGACAAATTATTTTGCAATTACGATTTTCAATTCGAATGTCGCCCCAGTTTAAGTCACAACCTTCTTCGATGAGTCTAGGTAAATGAATACATTTTC